GAATGAGGACAGCCAACTGTCACAAACCCAGAGGAGCACCCACCAGAGCAGAAGGTAAACAAGGTTTTCCACTTCCAGAAGAATGTGGGGACTCTAATGATGCCTACAAAATAGTAGGCATCAACTAAGTAAAGGACAGTGATCCTGGCCTATGTCATGGGAAGAGAGAGCATCACAGTGTTGTTCCAGTATATCTTATGGTATCAAAGCACCCATGCTTCCAGGAAATGAGATACATTTACATTCCTGCCAAAGTTGAAATCTCTAACCACACCATAGTTTACAATGATGTTACTAGAATGAATCTTAATGAAGCCCCCAGTAGGGGCTGGAGAGATAGCTCAGTGGTTAAGAGCACTGGCTGCTCTTGCAGAGAACCAGGGTTTAGTTCCCAGCCACTAACAGCTGCCTCTAATTCCGATTCCAGGAGATCCAATGCCTTCTTCTGACCTCCATGGGTATTGCATGCACATGGTACACTTACATACATGCAGACAAGATATTCATACACATAAAATAAAGATAAATTTTTTAAAAATGAAGCCACTAGTAAAAACAGGGAGATCAGAAACAAAAAGACTGAATTTAGAGAATCAGGAAGCTATCAATCCAATAGCAAAAGACCACATTCTACAAACATGCCTCAGAAATCAGCTGCTAAAGATTCCATGTGTGTTGCATTACTTTGCCTGGAGAGATATGAACAGATGTCTATTCACACCAGAAAAAGTACCAACAACAGATCAAAAACACTAGTCAATCCAAACCAATGAGTGAATTGGGCTTTATTTGTGGGGGTCTGGGTGAGGAATTACAGAAGCATAGGTGACTCAAAAACAGCTTCATCACTGAAAATTCCCATCCCATTATGGATGATGACATCACAGAAGCTGCATCACAGAGTCCTGTCTCCAGCCAACCATTAACCCCTATATCATCTAGCAGCCCCCAAAATCCTGTGTAGCTAGAGGGATGGGGTTGGTGGGGGCGTGTGATATTTGAATTCCCAGTAACCTTCTTCCACTTCCTACTTGAGCGTATTAACAACTTAATTACCATGACCATAACCTGGCTATCAATGCACTATTCTGCTTAATTCATTGCCATGACTATATGGCAAAGCATTCTGTAGGCTACCATGGCAACCTCTGCTCCATGATGGCCCGTGATTATATTACAGCTGAAAGAAGTAGCTTACATCCCAACAACATGTGAAAATCCACTAAGTGTGGATCAAGGACTTCTCACCAAATCCCAAGGTATCTTCCCAAAGATAGTTACCAGGTAGCTCTTAACCAATGAGTGGGTTTTCTAATACTCAAGTTGAAGCAGTCACTTACAAGCTACTTTTGCTACAAAGCACTGAGTCCACAATTGTTTTATCAGAATGTCATCTTTTTCCATTCACAAAAGTAGTAGGTTCAGCAGGAATGCAAGAGATCGGATCTTGAAGCTGATCCCCAAGGAAAAGAGTCTTACACTCCCCCTATTGGAGGAATGGAATTATGGACAAAGAATTCTGCCAAGCCCAGATGGGTTCTGCATCCCACAAACCCAATTCTTTTCTCTTTCAAATTGGGAGTTCTTTCAGGTCCATTTTTCTCTACCCAGACTTAAGTTTACAATAAGAAAAATGGTCTCAGAGATAACCTGAAGCCCAGGTCCCCATCTACCAGGAAAGAACCAGTTATCATAACTCACAGTTAACTTTACATGTGTTCCAGTGTTTACCTCATGCTTTCTATAAAGAGTCAGATGGTGATGAGGAAATGAGACCTTCTTCTCTCTCTTCCCCCTCCATGCCTCCCTTCCCACACTCACACCTACATTTCGCCAAAAGGTAGATAAACTCATTTCCCTCTATTGATTTGTTTCCTAATTTCTTATAAGATACAGCAGATTAATGAATCTGAGAGCCTTGGATAAAGAAGTGGGCAAAATAGGATAAGCAACATTTCTTATTGAATTCTATCTTTATAATTCTTAGTTATCCAAACTATTCCCCGTGACATTCTCTGGGCACCCATGAAATATTGTTTATATTAGTTCAACACTCTGTATGTCTTCTTTGACTCACTCATATGCCTTCAAAAAAGTAAAAAACCAGTTGTGATCTCAGAAATATATTATTTGTAAAAATCTTTATTTCTGTGACATGATTTTGACTTTATCTTCATTGACGTTTATCTGCCAGTAGTAGTTTTAAAAGAATTACCTGTGGAAACCTCCACATAGCCTGAAGCCCAGATTCTAATAAGTAGATACTTTTTTAGAAGTATAAAATTTATTTAAAGCCACCCACAAAGTTCTGTGTAATCAGTAATGATACAATTTACAATAGCTTCTTTTTTAAAACACTCACGACAAAAATTTAAAATATATTTTTTAATTACAGTATTCGTTTATCCTTATTCGGTTAGAACAATTTAAAAAGAAATTTTATGCTCTAAACAAATGAGACACACAAGGAAAATATAATGGCAAATTTCACAACTATCTTTGCATTTACATTTCAATACTATTACATTTCAATGCATTTCTCTACATAAACATGAAATCATATACAACTGTTGTGCACCAAAATTTAGGTCCTTCAAGTAGCATGCAATTCCAATTCACATGTCTTGAAGTACTAATAGTAAATGTTTTATGAGCAGAGGACTACATACATATTGACCATGAATTAAGTCATCATGATTCTTTCCCTGCTACATGGTGAAGTACTTTCCTTAATTGTTTCCCTTGTATGTGAAAAACTAAATCAAATATTTTGTGAAATTTAAGAAGTATTTCCTAATTTTTTAAAATTAATGATATAGGATGTCAATAGTAAGAAAGTAATAAAAAAATAAAATAGCCAGGCGTGGTGGCGCACGCCTTTAATCCCAGCACTCAGAGGCAGAGGCAGGTGGAGCTCTGTGAGTTCAAGGCCAGCCTGGTCTACATAGTGAGTTCCAGGACAGCTGGGGCTACAGGGAGACCCTGCCTCAAAAAGACCAAAAAAATAATAAAAATAAAATAAAATAAATAGTAAATATATTCCAAAGAAGAGCCAGCCAAAGACCAGAAGTATGAACTTAGGAAGTTGATATTTCTCATACTTCTGTTCTTCATCTGGAGAATATTTTACACACAATGATTCCTATAAAACAAGCT